CTGAGCCTGGTTTCTTCCTGTTAAACTGGAGTTTTTCCTTCCTTGTTGGGGTTACATGTGTTTTCTTTGTGTTAGCTTAGTCTTTACCTTACATTATAAACCACCCTGAGGTCAGACACTGATGTTGGATGAGAAGTCTCCGCTCTAATTCATCCCAAAGCTGTTCTATCGGGTTGAGGTCAGGATTCTGTGAGGCCACACATCAAACTTCTGCAGCCATGGCTTAATGGATGTTGCTTTGTGCACTGGTGTGCAGTCATGTTTGAACGGGAAGATGTTCCCACAAGTTTGGAGGATGAAAATGTCTTGGTATGCTGAAGCATTAAGACTTCCTGTCACGCGAACTAAGGGATTTAGCCCAGCACCTGAAAAACAACCCTTCACCAAGCTTTACACTGTTCTCCTGGAAACCACCAAACCCAGGCTCCTCCATCGGATTGCCAGATGGAGAAGCGTGATTTGTCACTCCAGAGAACACGTCTGCTCAAGAGTACAGTGGTGGCGGGGGTTGACGTAGGAGCAGTGACATGTAAAGATGCGTGGCTGAGTTGCTCTGTGGGGATACGCTATTTTTTCATATGAAAACTGTGACATTGGGCACTAACGCGTTATCGGTCGTCATCTGAGTTACCACTGCAAATGTGTGCATCGCCCAAGGGAACTTTGCAACAATGTCAGGGTCCAAAAACACCAGAAAGACTGATGGAGCCAAGGCAATTGATAGCAATGCTACACCCCCGGACACGGCCGTGCTAATGGCTGCCATAGCTAACTCGGAGAAGAATGCAGTCGCCAAAATTTCTACGCTGGAAGCAAAAGTCGAGACCAGGTGCCAAGCTCTCAATGAGCTGATCGATTCGCTTCCAAGCAATGTTTCTGACCAAATAGATGAAGTGCGGACTGAACTTTGTGCTAAGATTGATGCTCTAGCTACTACCTGCACTGACCACCATAGCCGGCAAACTAGCCTGGAAGAAGCTGCAAACACGTATTCGGACCGGGTTGTGGACTTGGAGAAGCAAGTTCACGATCTGAAAGAAGTTGTGTCAGCTCTTTCGGACAACACCGAAGATTTTGAAGGGAGACAGCGTGGATGCAACATTCGAATACTTGTCGTGAGGGAGCACTTTGAGACTGGGACACACCCTGTCACCTCTGTGGCCCAGCTACTAAAGGAGGTTTTGGCCCTGGATACCGCTCCGACACTGGATCGGGCACATCGCAGCCTCCAGCCCGTCCCTGCGAGAGACCAGAGACCCAGGCACTTATTGTCAAATTTCATTACTTTCAAGAAAAGGAGGAGGTACTTCGCAGGGCCGCGTTAAACCCTGACGCATGATGGAGTCAAAATCCTAATTTTCCCGGACCTGCCATCTGCAGTCGCGATGAGACGGGGGGCCTTTAAAGAAGCTAAAGATCTACTGCGCGGATGTCAGGTGTGAGACTCCGGATACTGTACCCAGCGAAGAAGCTGAGGATTTTTTCTCCTCTTGGTGAGGAAATATTCACCAATCCGACGGCTGCTAAAGACTACGTCAAGAATCGCATCTTGGCTGTGTGTGGGAATCAAGACACGGGCTGAGTGGACTGTGCGGCCTCAGTTGCTTTTTGACTCTCTATTGTTCACTGACTCAGACTGCACTTTAGAGAGGTTTGTACTTTTGCTACTTTCATAATTTAATAGGTCTGCAAATAATTGTTTATCACTGAGTGAAATAATCAACCAAGAGAAGTCACGTGTGCCTTTCCAATCTGCCAGATGTCTAACAACTGGGTCATAGTTGGCGTTCCCTGCTAGGGGCAACTTTTGTTTTGGGGAGTGAAGAGACATGTTGGATATAAGCTCTTTTTGTTTTGTTTTTGTCTGTCCCGTTTGGTTCTTTTGCCATCAGAATTGTTGTCTAAAGGCAAAGAAAGATGCCCAACGGATTTACTTTACCAAATGGACCATCCCAGCCTTGCCGTATTGGTCTATTTGATTCACCTTTGCTTTTATTGTTTATTTTATTTTCATTTGCCGAGCACGGGACAGACTTGACAGGGGAAAAGAAGAAAAAGAGCGGGGGATATAAGCTCTTTGGGGGGGAGGGCGTAGTTTGCTCCCGATTTGTGGGAGTTACGTTTATAGTTACTCTGGGTTTTTACTTTTGTTCTTTTGTTTTTTTTATTTTTTTATTTTTTTATTTCTTTTTTTCTTGTTGGCTGCATTTCTGTGTGTATACTTACCCCAAATCATTGTTCGGCTTGCCTGTCATGATTGTCTTGAAAGTGTGAATATGGCCAACTATGTAACCAACAGTGCTGCAACTACACCTGATCCTACTAAATTTATTACATGGAATGTGAACGGCCTAAATAATTTTAAAAAACGTAAAAGGATATTCACTCATCTGTCAATTTTCAAACCGGACATTGTCTTTCTACAGGAGACACATCTGTGTTCCAGGCAAAGCAAGAGGCTGACACAAAGTTGGGTTTCCCAGGTCTACCATTCTGGATTTAACTCTAAATCGCGGGGGTTGCCATTCTTGTTAGGAATTGTTAGGAATTCTTGTCAGGAAAAATTTTCCCTTCCCTCACTCAGCCCTCAAATGTAAAATGC